CCCCCTCCCCCAGCGTACGCCGCGCTGTGCGTCCAGCGCGACCGTCTCCTGTCCCGGTTCGGGTTCGGCCCCGGCCCGGATCCCGCGCGCCAGGACGACGTGGAGGAAGACCTCGGCGACGAGGCGGCCGTGACGCGGGTCATGACCCTGCCCCCGATGACCCAGCCGGTCCCGGCGCCGCTGACGTCGGAGCGCTCGTACGTGGTCAACCCGGTCTTCGCCGGCAAGGGCTCGAGGATGAAGCGCAACCCCTTGCCGCACGGCATGAAGCGCAGCGGCAGCAGCGTCGGTGGGGGCGAGCGGCGAACGTCGCTCGCGTCCATGGAGACGGACATGTCGTCCGGGGAAGATCACGAGGCGGGGTGGCCGCTGGACGGGGACGTTGGAAACTCGGGCGCCGGCAGCAAGCACTCGAGAGGGTCGTCCGCGGACGTCGGGATGTCGAACCACCTCTCTTCTTGGGCCGGCTACGGGGGCGGGGGAGCGGCGGCCTGGGTGCGCTCGGGGCGAGAGGCCCCGCCACCATTAGTTGTGCGGAGTGGTGGCAAAGAAAGCCATCGACGGACGAATTCTAAGTAGGAAGGTTGGGGGCAGAAACATACATTTTTTATTCATTTTGTGTTCGCTCTTTTTTCGTATGGTACATAGTTTTGGTCAATGTTGAGGGAGGGCGGCCGGCAGGACTTGCACGGAAAGGCCAAGAATACCTGCTCACTGGCGTTTGCTGTTGGGGTATGGTCGTCGCTTTCGCGTGCGAGGTTGATTGGTCACCGCTTCTGCCGACTCGACTCGTCTGCTGTAGGCGACTGTGTCACATAGCGCGCATACTTTCTGGTTGTTGTCGAGAGACCGGCGTGTGCGTTGATACCTGCTGTAAACACGAGGGGAAGGTTACACATTCTTCAAGTCTCCCCACAAAGCGTTGGGGGAAAACGCGTTGAGGAGGATACTAAACGTTCGGCACGCTCCAATCAAAATGCATCCTTCTTGTTTCTAGCCTTGCATGTTCAAAGACAGCCGGAGTCTGCAGGCACCAATGGATGAAGACGTGCACGAGTCGACCCACTTCTGCTCGTGTGCTTTCATCTAGCTCACGCCGCAGCTAGGTCTCGTGATTCTTCTGTGTTGGAACTTTGTGGCTATCCTATCCTTCATTTGGTATTTCTGGAACTCCGGCAAGTGAAGACTGTATCATGTTTTATTTTTCCGGATTTAGTGGTGCTTCGTTTTTTTTTTTAGTTTTTTTTGTATTGTGTATTGTATTGGCTGGCCTGTGACCGTTCACCGAACCCCGTTTCTCTGCCTTGAGATGAGTGCAAGAGCATTTTGTGGACAAGAGGTCAGGACAGGTTTTTGCTTGTTACGACCAGTTGATTGGTGACACGCGGTGGTCAGTTGTTGTTGTCGAGAGTGTCTCCTCTTGCTTATTGGGTTGGGCACATGTACGTCGTTGTCCCCGTAAGCGTGATGCCCACTGTTCGAAGTGGGCGGTTCTTCTGTTGGTGATTTATTTGCGGAGGTGGGGCAGGGTGGTGAACCGTTCAGTCTGTTTATGTGCTACCTCGTGGCGTCGTGTGAGGACAGGTGGAGCATTTTGCGTCCGCGATAGATCTTTCAGCTTGGTATCTTGTATTTAGTACCCCACGCATGATCGGCCACGAGTTGGTGCGTGAGGCCGTCGATATCGGAGGAACGGATTGTTGTATGGATAGTTTGGCAGTTTTTTTTTTGCGGTGACATTTGATTTTTTTCTGTTCGCCCATGGGTATTAGAATGGATCGGGATGTAACTTTGGTCATGACCTGGAGTATTTCCTGTCTTTGTTGTAGCTTATACGCGGGGTAGACTTAGTCCCACGACGTGTCCGCTCTTTCGCTCCACCCACTGAAGTACGAATAACCGGCAGTAGAGGTAATCGGGTGTGTGTGTGTCTGTCTGTGTACACCATTTGACCGGCCCCCCTCTGTAACAGCAACATTAATATTTGTTTCCCGAGAGAACATGACCGCAGCACAGCAGTGTGTCCCCATTCCCATCATCTGCCTCCGGCGCTTCGATGGACGCTTGATGTACTTATGATAGCGGAGTGAACTTGAAATAGGTTGGAGGTGAAAACAGTGTTGCTGGTGGTCGTCTCGAGACAAGTCAACTAAAGGCGCGTTCTCGAAATTTGAACAGTCGTAAGTTGCTGCATGGGCGGTGGATTGGAGAAGACTTGGAGGTTCGAAGGTTCACATGTTGTATTTTTTAGTTTTTGTTTTAGTCAAATTTTGTTCTTGTAGAGGCCGTCTTCGCGCCACATGGATGGTATTTCTGAAACGTATTCAAGTAACGATTCCTTACTGTTTGTTTTCTCGTGGTTCGATTCAAAGCTGGATACATGAACCGCAGGAGGGGGTCCAACCCCCCCCTCCTATGTGACCCCGGTTGGGTCGTCTAGCTGGTAGAAGTGGAGGATAGGGGCCAGAGGGGCAGACGACAGAGTCAAATGATGGGAGAAAAAAAAACAAACATGACGTGTGATACGGCTTGTGCACTGCCTGGAGCGGCATCGCTTTTAGACATGGCAAGCCCCAAGTCCTCAGGCAGGGGATGTCGTTGTCGCTGTGTTGCATTCCAAATATTGTGCGCTGCTGAAGCACTGGTGCTGCCTCGCTTGGCACGACCCTACGGTTCATTCCGCAAACCGCACGAGTCGTGGACAGCAGGTCGCTATACGTGTCAATCTCACTGACCTGTGACCAGACCCGATCTTCACGGCTGATGGGCCTCTGACCAAACCTGGCGCGTGTTATGCCATCCAGCACGGGTCATGGACCCTACTTGACTCGTAAGATAAACATGTCGAAAGTCGCAAGGTCATTACTTGACCTAACCCGTGACAAATCAAATGTGTGCTGACATGAGCTGCGAGTCGCCTCACGACGAGTACTGCAGGAAGCTCTGCTAGCTTCGTTTGACAAATGAGCGGAACCATCGCTGCTGCCAAATATCTATATATAGCCATATTCTCAAGCCCCCTAGGGGATTCTGTCCACACTGAAAACCCCTGTGCTACGTCTACGATGCAACATCTCCCAAAAGACAGATCTACGAAGCACCCTCGATCTACGCAATCCACTGTTTGCCCTCTCTAAAGCCAGGTCGCGAACCCTTACATCCGCCGGGCGGGTGCACAAGCAGACCGTTGCAATAAACATCTATAGTGGGGCTTGTTCGGCAAAGACGAGACAATTCAGCCACGCAAGTCTTCCAGTAAATTGCAATTCTTCAAGGTTCCAACCTTCGGCACGGTTCATCGCCGACCAGATTCCAGCGGACACCAGTGCCAGCGCCCCTTGCCATCCTTCGACAAGTACTCGTCCTACCCTTTCTCCTCGCGGGAGCCGCCCCCAAGACCGTCCCCCCTTACACTCAACAGGGCTCATTCCAACCCCTGAAATCTTGTCCTGTAGCGCACAGCCTGCCGCCGTGTCGTACAAAAAAAACGCGTCGAAAACAAAAAACACTCTCAGGAAGCGCGAGTTGGAAGGATCAGAAGAGGAACCCTAGGTCGTCTCCATTGCCCTTCGCCTTCCGAATGAGCATCCCGCGCACCTTTGGGGGAGCCCCCACCCATCGGCAGTACTCCTGGATCACCTGCGAATGCAACGCGATGCCCTGGACGTTCCAGACGCGCGAGACCGAGGAAGAGCGCGTGCGGCGATGAGAGGCAATGCGGAAGAGGGGCGTCAAGAGCTAAGTTGGCGGGCAGCGACCGTAGGTCGACACGTTCTTGCATCAGCTCGTACAAGGATTGAGCTGGTTGGTTGTACACTCGATCGAAATCAACGGAACCACGCAGGCTACCAACTGCTGTAGGTTGCAGCCCGTTCCGCTTGATGTCACCCTTGCCATTGCCGACCTTTGACTACAATCAGCTGTCGCCATCGCGACGCACTATCATCTCTCGGTGACATGATGTTTTGCGGAGGACGATTTAAACACATTCGCCTGGTTTCTCTTCCTTCAGCGTCTTGCCGCGTTGAGTGTGACCAACGCGGCGCGGGGGTTGGGTACGTGTACGAGTAACAAGCGGTGTGGACTTGAAGACGACGCACTCGAATAGAAAATATGGAAAACATAGGCGTAGGCCTTCGTTGACAGCAGACCGCACAACGATTAAACATGTGTCTGGTAGTTAACACGCAATTAAGACCGGTACGCACACGACAAATCGCCCCCCCATGCCCCCCCCCCGGAGTTCTATCGTTTGTCTATTGCAGCTGAGTTTCGCAAGGAATGCTCTGCATGGTCACCCGTGTGCATGCTTTTGTATCGACCGGGGTCGCTGACGAACGGTTGGTGCGAGGCCGACAGGTACACCACACCTCACAAGTCATCGTGTGGCAGGCTCCCCATAACATGGCCGTAGTAAAACCCACGCACCCCAGGGGGTTCGTGATCGGCAAATACAACAAGACCGCACCTCGAATTCCCAACCATCCGAATCCGGCCCATTGGCCCGTTGTAGCGCACTCGTGTGAAAACGTTCGCTTCAATGATAAAATTCCTTCACCTTCCCCCTGATCTTGTTGAGCCTGGTCTCGCCAAGGATAATCTTGGCTGCGACGACGGCGGGGGAAAAAATGCCGAACTTGGACACCTTTCCCATGCGAAGCTCACCGCGGCCTGTCCTCCTGCGGACCACGGCAGCACAAGACACGCATACGGGGTGTCAAGCGAAAGGTTTCCTCTCTTCTCATGTGTGCCTCTAGTATTGACTAGCATCGACCGCGTCAACCAATTTTCAAGATGCCAGCGGAAGAAATCAAGGATCTCTGGAACGGGCCCACAATTTACAAAAACGCGCAACGCGCTGAATGTAAGCGCCAAAATGAACTCATTCTAGAAAATATTTCTGAGACACGCACACCAAGGGGCTTTTTCACACATGGCCTCGCCCGGACCTAGGTAGCATTCGAAGAGCAGAGGACAGCAAAAAATGTGTGTACTCGTCCCATCTATTCTGGTGCCAATGTACAGGCCTTTCGGCGTATATACCAGACGTAACAGCCTGGGTCATACAAAAGGAAGGTCACAGAAGCTTTTTTTCATCTCTCCTGCTTGTTTGCAATACTTGTATTTTTTAGGGCGGCCCATAGGGATGCTTTTTGTCTTGCAAACAAACGCTGTTTAGAGGGGTCGCATGTACATGTCTGCGCCCAACAAAACAAATGCTCACGGATCGCATGTACATGTAGCGTGTCTGACCGTCTGACCGTCTGTCTGTCCGTGATTAAAAACCCAGCAGACTGGAGCCCATTTTAACATCTAGGCACCAAGTTGCAACCTAAGACTTGTGCCCGACAGGCAGCATTTTGCCCGCGCTGTCGCAACTGCTTCCCGCTCAGTCCGTGCTCAGTGCGTCGAGTGACGAACACATGTGCGCCGAACATAAATGGCGGATTCAGGCGTCCCCGAGACCGAGGAGTAGGCGTAATTTGTTTGGAATCAGGTTCTCTCTGCCGCTGCTGGAAAGTATATCGCAGATAAGTATATCGCAGAGAGATGGACGAGGGTGGAGGGAGACACACGTCAGGGAGGAGGGAGACGGGAGGGTGCGACCTACACTATACTGCTGCTACTCTCAGCTAACGGCGGAAGCGAGAGGAGGAGG